TGTGTAGCATATCGTACATTAATAAATAAATTAATAAATTTTTTTAATAAACTTTAAAATTTTAAGTTTTACATTGAACCAAAAAGCGTTCAGAAACTTTTGGCAGAAGTCTATATTTTACTAAAATTTTATTAATTCAAAATATTTTTTATACTTTAGAAATGTGTTTTTAAATGATCATACCAATATTCAAGTATCAAAAAAACTTAAATATTCTGAAGCTTTTCAGGAATTATATTATTTTTAGCTAGAATTTAATGGCAAATTAGTTTATTTTTTTTATAAGAAAACATAATATATATAAGGACTCTTGGTTTATGATAAAAAAAACAAAATTTTTTACATCTTTGATAAAAAAAACTAATAAAAAATTTAGTATATTTGCTTTTTGGATTAAGTTTCTCTAAATAAAAGAGTATTTAGTGATAAATAGTCAGCACTTGCTATAATATTTTTTGAGTCAAATTCTTCTAGTTTTAATTTAACTTTATTATTGAGAACAGTAGAATAAATTTCAAATTAGAAAAATTATAATTCAACAAGTATTACAGAAGTTATATTATTGATAAAAACACTTATGACTTTAAATTAAAAGTTTTTTAGTATAAGAATAAGGGAAATTATTAATAGAATTAGTGTTAAATTTTTTGATAATGAACAAAAATTAGAAAAAGATCTAATTATTAAATGACCAAACAATTTAATTTCCTACGAACTGTATAATTTTTGACAATTTTCACATATATCTATTTTAGTCATTAGCAAATAACAGTCTATTCTTCTATAAGTTTTATTATATTAGTTTTAGTTCTTTAAAATTGCAAAGGGTTCATGAGTATTGTCAAAAATTTTTTGATTTCTAACAAGATGAGTACCTTGGAGTTTAATTACTTATTCAAAATCTAAAACATAAATAACTTAATTTAATATATAAACTAAAGGGTTAAAAATAATTAAAATAAGTACCTTTAGTTATTTGTTTAATGCAAATTTTCACCATAGATACATAATAAATTGTTTCATTTATCTTTAAAAAAGTTCTTTTAATTGCAATTCCTATTATTATTCCATTTATTCTTTAACACTTTTCCTAAAAAATAAAGGATATACTAATAAAAATTAAAAATCAGAATCAAAAAATGTTTTATTTGTTAAAGTTATTCATGAAAAGGTAATTATTATTTATAAATTAAGATATTAATTAAAAGTAATAAAAGATTAATACTAGTATAATTTTCTTTAAGAAAATTGCAAATAAGAATCAAATTATATATATCTTGCAGGCTAAACTTCAACAAAAATAGAAGATGACGAAGAAAAGATGTCTGAAGAATTAAATCAAGTTACTCAAAAAATATCTAATAAAGTTTTGAAAAACAAAATTGATATTTCTTCTTTTTATCTGATTTTTTAAGAATTAATTAGAATTCAAAGTGAAAAAGTTAATGAAATAAAATATTATTTGATGTAAGTATATAATTATTAAAAGGAAAATAATTAAATAAAATTTTAATAATTTGACTGCTAATTTATTAGGTTTATGTGATAGGCTATTTCTATATATAGTTAAGTAGATCATATAGCTTATGAAGTAATAAAAGGAATTATGCAGTTACTTTCAATATCTATAATAAAAAACTACATAAATGAAAATACAAAAAGGTATTTATTGTTAATAAGTATTTACAGTAAAAGAAAACTTTATAAAATATTTATTTTAATTTAATATTTAAAAGATCTACTTTGAAATCTGTGAGATAACTGTTATGTTAGATATTTAAATTTTAAAGATAAAAAAAAGAATTGCAATCATTTATAATGTAATGTGAAAAGGAATTATAAGCAAATAATAACAGTAATTCATTTGTTTAGAAGGCTATGATTAGAATTTAACAATCCAGATGCATCAAGTCATTTGGCACTCAGCTACTTATAACTTTGCATACCCTATAGCTTATTATAGAATTAACACTCTTACTGTCTATGAAATTAATAAAATGCTTTTTTAACTTGTGGCTAACCTTAAATGTATTGGTATCTATACTTGTGAATCTATTTGTGATAGTGCTAAAGAAAATAGAAATTATATCAAAAGTTTTAACTGGTAGGCTTTTTCTTGGTCATTAGGAGATATTATTGAAGTTAATATTAAAAATAACAATTATGAGCAAGCAAAAATTATAACAACAAATCTTGATTATAGCAAATTTATAATATGTTTATTAGATTCATCTTTTTCTAATGAATTACAAGTAGATTATAGCTCATTAAGATTGCTGATGCCTATTAAACTAAATTGGAAAATCAATGATTATTGTGAATTCAAAAGTCCAAAAGATAATAAATAGCATGTGGCTGTTATTACAAATTTTAATCCTGTAACATAAGCTTTTATTATTACAATTTTGTCTATTAAAGAAAAATGGAATATAGCAATTGAATCCCAAAATATATATGTTAAACTTCTCTATAATACTCAAATATATTGGATAAACTATAAAACAATAAATCCAATTACTGATATATTATAGTTTTTCATTAGTGATCTCATACACATATTTAAAATAAATGCTTCCTATATAAATATATACCCTTTTTAAATAAAATACTTAACTCAGTTTTGAGTTGAGAAATTAATACTAAATCCACACTTTTCTCTACATATTATGTAATAATTTTCTAATTCTGTATATATAAAATTTTTTACATAAATATACTCACATAATTATATGATTATAGTCTCAATCAAAATTATAAATTACCTAATAAAATAAAGTATAGATTAATTATAATATAACTATAAATAATATAATATATCACAATGTATATCACACTACTATATATTATTATGTAACATATTACAGTTACAGTAATGCTGTAATGTTATAGTTTATACTTACATTTTAAGAAAGTCTAAAAGTCTAAGGGTCTAAAAATATCATTTCTAAAAAAAGAAAGAGGAAAAGAGAGAAAAAAGAGGGAAAGAGAAAATACAAAAAAAAATTTTAAAAAAATAAACTATATTAGCTTGACACAGTTGATCATTTTAATTTCTATGCATATAATTAAAAGATGATAGATATGGTATTTCATAATGTGTATATATCTCCAGTCAATTATTTATATTTTTCTATAAATGCATTCCTTGTATAAATGCACACTTTTGTTTAGTCCTGAGGGAAGTGCATTTATAGAGAGTTGACTTTAATTAGATTTAGCATAAGGAATGATTCACACAAAAACTTCTATTATTTATCTAAGATCAGATAGGTTATGTGCAGTAGTGTTTCTGGATAAGTTAGTAAGTTAAATGAAGTATTTGAATCTTTCTTAGATAACGCTATAATCAGTATTATACTTGTAAAATCTAATCATATCATTAAGCAAAAAAATACTATCTTTTTTATTAAGTTTAGTAAAATTGGCATTTTCATCAAAAGTAATAATAGCATATTGCCAAAGGTTACGAGTTTGTAATGGCCAAGCCTTCTCCTACTATCTTTCTTTTGTTTTCTTGAAAGTGATATTTTTAATTTAGGTTAGATTTAATTTGAAAAAGTACAGGATTAGTCTTCTTTAGAATAATTTTTCTTTTTTTTACAAGATTTTCATTTTTCTTCTTGATTTGTATTTTATTTTTTATATTTTACTTTTATCATAATAAAAATAATATAGAACTATCATACTTTAAAAAAAAATTATTTATTTTAATAATAGATTGGCAATCCTAGTTCAGTTGGCAATAACTGAACTCCTATTGTAAGTTATACTGTAATAACCACAGGTTCAAATCTTAGCTGAGGCAAAAAATTTGATGATTTTCTTAAAAATTTCATATATAACTAAATATGTGATTATATATATTAATATGCATTTATAACTGGTTGATCAATCTATCGATCAGCATTAATTATGCCTAAATATTGAATTTTAAAGAACAAGTGAATACAAATAAAGCTAGAGATTGACAGAAACTTAGCTTTCACTAATAGGTATGTAATAGATACTGTTTTACATCTTTAAACTTAGGGTCTTTATATAAGTAATAAAGTGATTAACTAGTAATTAGTAGATTAGGTACTCTAAAAAGAGAATATGATAAAAATAGACTGCATTGTATTACCGTAGCACTATCCAATTGAATTATTATTTAGAATAGAAACTGTGTTCAATTCTTAAATAATTTTGATAATATAGGTATGATAGCCACCTACAGTTTTGAGATTCTATAAGGATAATAACATCTAAGCCTTTCTAGTCATATGTAATATACCCTGATATCAGGTAAAGGTAATAGTGATTCTAATTAGTATTGATAAGTATAAAGAAAAAAATGACATAAAGCACCTATAGCTGAAAGTGATCACTCTATTTAAATTTAACAGTAGTTCTGAGGTCTAAAAACTCTAAGGATTTACTTTTAAGGATGTCATCTAGGTGACAAGCTTTAGACTAGTATTATATGAATAAGTTTTGATTAGCATTTATCTAGCCATAATCTTAAAAGTCTAATAATTGATGTATAGAAATTACTTGTAATTCTGAATTGCAAAACAGTCACTTTACAGATTCCTAATGCTTTGGGTACTAAAATTATAAAAAAAATGATTCATTTTAATAAATAAAAAACTCTTTTTGCTTCACATCAAAAGGACCAAAAATAATAGAAGCAAGAAAATTAATCACAGTCACTCAGTGTTACTAATTAGTAATAAACAATTAGCTAAATAACAAAATACAATATAGATAGTTAAGATAGTTGAAGCAACAGCCTCTTATAGTGCTTTTTCAAATAAATAAAATACTGAAAATGATATGAAAGTTGACAACACTTCAGTTATGACTCCTTTTTTAACTAATATAGAAAAGGATAAAGATGTTTTTACACTTAAAGATGACATCACTATTAACAATATAAATTTCGATAACAGCTCTGACCTAACTGAAAATAGTATTAGTATAAATAAAGATATTTTTACATTTACTAAACCAAAACTGTTGCAAATATTTTTCGCATATTATTCACTTAAAAAATACAAAGGCATTATCTCTCAACAAAAGATTGCTGATATTGTTGATTAATATTACATAAATATCCTTAGCTTTTCAGAAGTCACACATGAAAAATCTCCCATAGATTATATATAAATAATACTTAAAGTTACCTTTTTAAAATAAGAAGAATGTGATAATTTCTGCAAGATGCAGATACTAAATTTAAACAATGTTACATTTTTTTCTTTAATAATAAAATGTCAGACCCCTTATGTATCTGAACTTTCTATCATAATAACTAAAATTCCTTTAGATGTTATAGAATTATGATTAAAAGAAACTGTTTTTTAAATTGAAAATGTTATCAAAATCAATATGAAAACTTGTAACTTATGGCAAAAAGCAACCATTACTTATGATAAAAATGCCAATTTTACAGATTTTAATATCTTTTTATTGAATGATATGATATGCTTCCATAAATATAATATTTCTCATAATATCATAAAAGAAAAATCTATACATTTAATTAAACTCACCAGTCTTTTTAAAAATACTATTGCATGTGATATTACAGATTTAAGACATATATTAAAGTCTTCATCTGAAACATTTTTCATATTAAATCAAACTATAACTATCTCCAATATGCCTATTTCTTCTTTCCATCTGCAGAACTCTGTAAATCTGCTAAAGCTATCTTCAATCTTTTTTTAAATAGAAAACGCCTAGAATAGACTGATTCAAAAAAGAAATTATGTGCTATTTATTCATCATTTTACTATAATACATCAATTTATTCCAAAAGAAGACAAAATTTAAAGACTAAAATATGCAATACTTTTATCAATAGTTTTAACTTGTCCAATTTACTAATTATATTATGTCAAAGAAATAGCTTCAAAGAGGTTTAGTATGTGATAATGTTATATTTATAGATGCAATCAAATATAAACTCACAGAAAATAGATAAAATACAAATAAAAGTAATCCTTAACATCTACCTAAACCACTATCCCCCTAATAATAATACTACTAAAAAACTACCTTTTCAACAAACTGGTAATCATTTGATAGATAATTTGCATAATAATATGGAATTTAAAATATATAATAAATATCAAAGTACTTATATCAACCCCTGCAGAATCACTAAAGATAATAAACTTTTTAAAAGTACAGCTTAAGGTGGATTAATATATCAATTCTGATTTTAAGAATCTGATAACTTCTAAACTCAATGTCATTATCCAATAACTTGCAAATCTTATCTCAGTCATTACATTTTTTCAAGAAAAACTTAATACGTTAGAAAAAGCTTTAGATATTTAGATAATTACCTTTACAAAAGCTGATACATATAACTAAATTCTACCTCCTGAAACCTCACCAGTAAATGAAAGTTTTACATATCAATATCTCTAGAAGCTTTGTCCCATTCTAAAAGAAAACTAATAAGCAACTAATTATAATAATAATAATGCATTTCATCTTTCACTATTATCATCAACAACTTATCTAATAAATGTGCAGATTTTTAACAAGTTCTAATAAACAAAGGTCTCTTAAGTTCAAATAATGCTCACATTTTCCTTTTAATTGCTAACACTTTAGATAAATAAATATAAAGCTATCTCAATAGTTTTTCATATTAAATTTAACATTCATAATGATTATTATTCCTACCATAAACATTACTATTATAAATAATAATCTATTTTTAATTACAATAATACCTAATATTAATATTGCTTCTCATAATATTTGATCTTTTTATAATTCTATCAAACAACAATATTTAATATCTTACTATATAACACATAATTTAAATATTATTGGTCTTTAAAAAACCAACTTTATATCTAATTTATCCTCTTTTTTAATCAATATCTAAAATTTACTTTATTTTTCAATACAAACCAAGAAAACCAATCTATTAAATTTAGCGTTAGCTTCTCTTTTAGCTCACAATTAGTTAAACATATTTTTAAACATGAATCAAAATTAAATCATATTATTTATGCTAAATTACAGTTTTCTAATAAATAAAAACTCCTTATTGTAAACATTTACTTCTCATTGAAATTGGCAAAAATTGATAAACCTGTTAAATATGACATATATGCCAAATCTGCCAAATCTGCCATATCTGCCAAATAGGACACACATACTATTTATTACATTTCTATTATTTATATCATTATTATCATTTATAACATATTTAATATAATTAGCATATCTGTTAGTTCTGTTATTATTATTAGTAGTATCATAAATACCATAGATTTTCTTTAATTGTAATTTTCCTATATAAAGGGCATGAAAATGCCTTAGAAAAAGGACAAATTCCAAC